AAATCAGAGTTAAGGCAGAAGAGCTTCACTCTCTCCCTTAATTTGCTTTCTTTTCTCTCTTCTTCCTCTTGTAAATGTTAGCCGACCTAAGGCTACTGTAACATATAGTGTATGAAATAAACTGGAAAAAGAAGTTATCTTGGAAATAGCCGGCCTCAAACTGTAAGCTATCTATCCTCCTGTTATTTTCCTATCTTTAAATTCCTGTATATATATAGTAGCTGTAATCAAATAAAGTTGTCATCATCTTAAAAATTACAAATAATGTGCAATTAAACACAATGTCAATACATCACCTGAGAGCCTTAGGCGCTAATGTGCAGCACTTTTAAAGCACTTATTGTTGCTTATCTTGGCCATTCCTGTTTATATTCACCAACTTTCTGTATGACAGCCTGAAAATAATATTGTCTTTGGTTCTCTGAGATGGAATAATATTGTTGATACTAGACGTTGGTGTCCGTGAAAGTACATAGTCTTCAAATTATTTGATGATCATTTAGAGTGGGATAAGTTGGAAAAGCATTTTATTTATTTATTTTTCTGCTTTTGGTGTTGTCATTTGTTGTCATATGTTTACTAAGTTGGTAACTCGTTTGTTTGTATACAGTCAGAGCACTAACGCTTATAAAGAACAATCTGATTGATCCAATGAAGAAGCTTAATTCTTGGAATAATGGAGACCCATGTACATCAAAATGGACAGGGATATTTTGCACTGCTGTACAAAATGATGGATACTTGCATATACAGGAAATGTATGATTAAATATTTTTACTCTCTTTAAATTACTGCAATTTCTCGTGCACTGTCATATGCATTGCTAAGGAATTATTCTCTTCCCAAGTACTAGTTTATGTTGACTTTTAAAGTTTTTGCAAGTTCATTAAATATAATTGGCCGTAAAGCACATAATTGACTTGTATATTTTAGCCTCTTTGTGTAGCTGATGTTTTAGCTTCATGGTGTTTTGTTAGCAGCAGACAGTTGGCTATGTCTAAAATCCAAAAAATGTAATTATCTTCCTGGTGTAAATTGCATTCGTCATGCTTTTACGGTCATTATTCAACTCTCATTTTGTAATCTTGATTACAAGTCAATCATGTCAGTGTGAACTGAGTTTGTTCGTCACTGGCTTTTCTAGGAGATTGTTTTTCCAGAGATAATGAGTGGTATGAAACATCTTGCTAGGATAATGAATGAAAAAAATGCATTTACATTATGAAGTTCTCTATAATTGGTTCACACTTAATGTTTTCTTTGTGCTATGTCATACATATGATGCATCACAAGATCACATCACATTTCTGAAAACTGAAATACTATAATGGTGCACTAAGAGCTTACTATTTCTTGCAGGGAGACAATGTTCTTGCATTTTTCATTCTTTTTTTCTTTTTTCTTTTTTTGGGGGTTAGCAGTGGCTCTCTTGCTATGGTATATTGCTGCATATTGTGTTCCTGTTATCCAACTAGGAACCAGATAAACCCTCTGCCTCTTACACATATTAGCCATGAAACGTGAAGAGCATTGCTAAAATGGTCAAAACACTCCAACTTGATAGTTTTCTTCTCCTTTGTTTGGGGAAAATTGTAATAGTTTTCTTCTGCTTATTGTTGATTGCTTCAGGAGGTGAAGTGATAGTTTCAAATGAGTTTTAGAAAATAAGTTAGCTGATTATTACACAACCTGTTCTTAACCTTTTTAATATACGCAACCAACATATGCATAATATAGAGAATTTGAATTCTAATGTTCACTAAATACACTTTTAAATAGTAGTAGATTTCTATCCTGTTTTTCTGGAGAAATATATACTGAAAAGACGGAAGAAATTTTCTTATCATTAACACTTTGGAGTTGGTGCTATGTAGTTGCACTGCATGCATGTATTTTCAACATACTCATCATTAATATTTATCATTTATATGTTATATGTATATTTGTATCTTATTTATTTGGTATACTTGTAGTAGGTTAATTTCATTTTCAATAAGGTTTTATTAAGACCCTTTGTCTTATTTAACCATAAACATTATGTTGTACCAAAAAAAAGGGTAACTATTAATCCTCCTACATGCTTTTCTGAATTATATATGTGGCATAATCATAGTATCTATGAGCTTTCGTGATTTTTCTTAAAATTATTCACCTCTAAGTTTGAATCTATGGTAAAATGTATCATTTGTTGGTTTATCACAAGCATAACGTCATGAATCATGTTCAATATTCCTATTGAGCCTCTACCATTAGATTCTTTGACAAGTAATTTTTCTCTGATTGAATAATGTTAGAATCCACCATACATTTTTAATGCTGGAGAAAATATGTTATGCATTTTTTGTCTCTTAGTATATAGGAAATATTACACGCTGGTTGTCCTATAAATTAATCATTCGAATTCAATATGATCCTCAGACTTGTTCCTTTTGCAGACTGCTATTGAATTCAAATTTGTCAGGAATTTTGATTCCTCAGTTTGGCCTTCTATCTCATCTGAAAATACTGTAAGTCGTAATGTAGTCTGGGACCAAAGAAATTGTCAAGGATAAATTTTCAAAACCAACCCATTTAGGAATTTATTGTCAAAAAACGACCCCATTCAAACAAATTTGCAAAAACCGACCTGGTTTCAGCCTCTGCGCTGAAACCAGGTCGGTTTTAAAAAAAAAAAAATTTAAAACTTCACGGGAGTTGAACTCCTGTGAAGTTTACCAGCTTTTAATTAAGCTGCTAAACTTCACGGGAGTTCAACTCCCGTGAAGTTTCACAATTCAAAAAATTTATTTTTGAACTAAGAAACTTCACGGGAGTTGAACTCCCGTGAAGTTTAGTAGATTAATTAAAAGCTGCTAAACTTTACGGGAGTTCAACTCCCGTGAAGTTTCGAATTTTTTTTCTTCAAAAACCGACCTGGTTTCAGCGCTGACGCTGAAACCAGGTCGGTTTTTGCAAATATCCTAGAAACGGGTCGTTTTTTGCAAATAAAAACTCAAATGGGTTGGTTTTGAAAATTTGTCCAAATTGTCAATTAGGATAATTTGAATGTATACTCTTTATACAGTCTATAGTCATTACAATTAGAATAATTTTCTCTGAAGTTCATACTTTCTTTTTATCTATCTAGAGTACTGCAATACTAATTGAATGTTGTACATCTGTAGGGATTTTATGTGGAATAATATAAGTGGAAGTATCCCACGGGAGATTGGAAACATTACTTCCTTAAAACTTGTGTAAGTGAATTGACATCCGCCGTTAACTTCTTTTATCGTGTAAAACATATTCTACTCCTTTGTGCTCATATGCTGAAATCATATTTGCTTAAATTTTAAGTTCCTCAAATGGAAGGGTCATCTTCTATGCCAAGAGGAGTACTATGCTTCATTTATTCAAAAAATAAAAATAAAAAATAAAAATAAAGATACAAATACACTGGATTTATTCTTCATGCAATTATAGCGAGTCATGAGCTATAACGTAGTTGTTTGGATAATCAATATTTCAGAGTTGGCGTAAATATTGGCTGTTGTCAGTAGCAGTAGAAAGTAAAAAAATATTGGTACCATTGTCCATATTACCAGAAACATCTTGATGTACATGTTAATTTATCACGTTGTTTTTCTGTGAGAGGAAGGAATTTGTGTGGAACAGCACTGATGACTGCCAACAAATCTGTTGGAACATAATCTATTAACAAACCAGATATTAATTAAGGCCCCGTTTGGCAAAGGGTTAATGAAGAAGGGTTAAAGAGAAGGATTAATGTACTTAGTCCATTTGATAATCCGAAGGAGACTAAATTATTAACTTGTTAAATAAGTTTTATTTTAGCCCTTATGATCAGTTTTAGTGTTTGGGAATAACAATGATTTTGACTATTTTCTTTATAATTAGAAGGGTTAACTCTTATTCCATCTAAATAGGAGTATTAGTAAACCCCTCATTTTGAGGGGTTAACTCATTTTAACCCCTCTAGAGGGGTTAACTTAACCCTTCTATATTTTTTATGTTTGGCAAATTATGGAGGGTTAACTCACTTTAACCCTTATATAGATTTGTTGTGTTTGGCAGGTTAAGAAGGGGTTAAGTCTCATTAACCCCTCACTTAACCCTTTGCCAAACGGTACCTAAAGGTTCGTTAGGTTGTTCCTCAAATAAAGAAACGTGGAATTAATTTCTTTAGCCTAAAGTATCTTCACTGTTATTTCCTAACGGATACTTTGTAGTCGATAAAAAGGGATCCAACTAGGAGATTAAAAAAAAAGAAAGAAAAAAGCTACTCTTTTTTTCTCTACTTTTCTCTCTCTCTGCTAACTCTCCTTCACCTCAAAAGTTTCTCCTTTACTATCACTATTGGGCTGCTTACTCTTGGGTCATCTCCCGACGACACGCTAGAGTTCTAGTGGTCAAGTGATTGTACCTCTTAAGGAACATCTGGCCTTGGCGGATCACACGAGATCGGCGGATGTGTCTTTAGGGCAGTGGTTCTCCATGCCTTCCCCGAGGCCGATAAATGTGTTCATTTATTATTATTTTTAATGAAATATCAATTCTTGAATTCTAGTCTTAACAATCCTTGGTCCATCATGATTGGCTGCAGCCTGCAACCACATTCTTTGCTGCCAAGAGACCATACACAGTTCTTGCAACTCAATAAACTGAAGTTAATCGCGCGCTCCAGAAACTTTTATCCAGCTGTGGTGACTTTGTTACCCTCCTTTCTTCTTTATCATCTAGAAGCAAATTGACAGTTTAGTCCTGCATTGCAGTAATACCTTACACTTCTCAGACCTAATTTGCATATAGATCACAATGGTTTACTGCAAAAAAATGAGCTATCTATTAAAGGATAATCAAATAATTATTCCCTCTTAGACCTTTATTTGCAAGTAACTCACAATGAGTCCTCACAACTCCTGGATTTTGAGACAGTTGATAAAGGGTTGCCAATGAAAAATCTAAGTGTTAAATCATAAGCTTTGATTCAATTGCCATGATCTATTTAAATTGTGATTAATTCTAATCTAGACTGATGAGGAGGTCTTTATTTATGGGTAATTTATGGGGCCAGATTGCGCATCGTTCGGTCTAACTGATTCGTTAATGGGAAAACAAGATTTCTAGTGTCCATTATAGAAATAAGGCAGCAATGGTGAAAGCACATCCTAGGAGAAATATATTACTTGGTGATATTTTCCAACAATACTGATATGGGATATCAATATGTACAGGGAAGGCCACGGGTACGTGCAGACAGAAAATCCTAAAATTTCATGACGCAAATACATAGTGGATATGGTAACAATATAATTGTGTATGTTAATGTTCTTCACCGTAACAGGAGATTTTATTTTGTATCACATGCATTTGTTGGGCTGTGTGTCTGTTAATTTATCTATAACATGAATTTGTAAGGCTATAACCTAAGTTAAAGTGCATGCATGCACACAGTTATGTCCTTTATGTATAACATGAAGCTATATTATCTAACATAAATTCTGAAGGATTTAAAGTAAATTGGATTTACAACTCACCATATTTTCAAGTTATAAAAAATTATAAATCTAAAGGTAGAGGAAACTTATTTCTCATTGAAAAATTGACAAATTATATAAATATATCTAACTGTAAGTTATACGGAATTGTAAATGCAGTAGGTTGTTGCAAAGTTCGTGACAGTATACTACATCATGTATTGTATCCTAGTAGAAGCATCCCATTGTCAGATATCTTTAATATGTGGCATGTCTTCTTTATGAGGCATTTTTTATGGTTAAATTGTCACGCCCCGAAACTGCACCAGAAAAATTCATAAATACAGGGTACGTGACAGCAGCGACCCATGCACAAGACAAGTCTTATGCATGAGTCAAACCTGGCACTTCATATCACATAGTTTATTTCAAAACATTTATAAACCTGCTGATGATAGAAGTTCAGAGCAACTATATATATGTATATAATCGATACTTACAACCCACAAGCTCACCGTTATAAGCATTTTACTAATTCAAGCACATTATTGACTGTATGTAACATAAAAAAGGAGAGGCTCTCCATATAACGCCTCTCAGCCAAAAGCCCTAACCAAAAGTTCGGCTAGTATGAAGCTACACTGGATCTGAAAAAATTAAAAAACAACGGGGTGAGCTAGAGCTCAGTGAGAACATTTCCCACTAGAGTTCCTAGATAACTAGCAAAATAATAATAAGTATAATTCCCAGAATAACGAATTATAAGTTTTGCATTAGAAATTCAAAATAGCAAAATACGATCCGAATATCATAATATTATTGTCTTGAAGAAAGAATGCAACAATTATATTTTCTTTCTTATGTGCAACTGAATATACTGTGACATTTCCTGGAATCAAACTCTTTTTGAATCAAGGTAAACATTAAGAAAGAAAAGAACTACCAATTTATACAAAATCAGAGGATTATTGTTTCCTCAATTTCACAGTCAATTATCAGAATCTTAATTCTCGATGAGTTATTCATGAATGTAAAAGTCACCTCATAGGTCACACTAAGGCTACGAATTATAGCCCAGTAGCAAGGGAATGCGTAAAACGCATCACATAACAGATAATTCCCGGAAATCGAATGCACCTAACGCTGCCATAGGTTACTGGCCAAATACAGAGGGGCCAGAACAAATTTCAGAAGGGCCAAACACAGAAAGGCCAATACAGAGGGGCCAGATAAAGGTGAATTTACCATATGACAGGCAGAAACAATCCATAGTGGACTTTTTGAGGGTTTGAAAACATCGAGATCACATGTCAAATGAGTAATACCTTGCGTACAAGAATTTATAATTTTTTTCAAATGAAGTGGACAATGTAAAACTCCTCATTTCAGTTAAAACAATTTACGGATTTTTACTTTTCTTTATTTTTATCAGATACTAAGTCACGGAAAATCTTTAAATCCGTTAAACTGTTGAAATACATTCCAAATACTTCATCAAAAACTTTCAGATAAAACAATGCCCACAATTATTTGAAATTGCATGAGAGCCAAATTCACTTTTCATATTTCACATAAAAAAAATCAAATTTTCTTTTCATATCTTGTACGAGGCTAACATCGTATTATAGGATAGACCACAACAGAAATAGATCAAATCTTTATATACATGAAAATTATATATTATTTATTTTTCGATCACAAGATAAATCAAATATCACACTCATGCAATTTCATATTATAAAATACTAGTGAGAAATGAACTCACCTCCACTGAATACAGCTTCCTCAAAACATTACTTTCCAGATATCAAATTTGAACCTATAATATAGAATAATAAGACTATTATTAGTTCACGATAATACATATTATAAATTAATCAATTCATATTCTAGAGTTAATATTTTCAAATATAATCCCTAACAATTTAAAATCCATTAAATAAGGTAGATATAGATTTATTTCTAACTTATGATGCGGCAGGGGGTTATGGGTAAGTAATCCAGCCCAAAAGTGATCTCTTAATCTTCAAATTGGACTTATTTGTAAACAAATCAAATAACAGGGGTCTGTACAAAGTTATCCTGTCCATATATGATCTTAGATTTCTCTGTTAGGGTTCATTTGCAAATTTTGTAAACGTTCAGGGGTCCTAAAGATAATTTTGATATTTTATTCTTTTATTCTCATTTTCTCTCTCCTTGTCTCTTCATCCCGTTTCTGCTTCATTCCTTCTTTTTTTTTCTTTTTTTTTTCTTCTCCTCCTCCCTCGCTCTCTCTCTTTCTCTTTTTTTCCTCCTCTGCGGCGCCAAGTTGGCGCGGCTGCTCAAGCTCCGCCGTCGGAGCGGCCACCCGAGGGCGAGCCCTCCCCGACGCCGGCGGTCAGGTAAGTGCCTATTCTTTTTTTTTTCATCAGTTAAAGAAGGCTTAATGAGAAAGAATAAAAATTATACCTTTGTTTCCCCCCTTTTCTTTTCCTATCCTTCCTCCTCTTCTTCTTCTTCCTTTTTCCTCTTTTTCTCTTTTTTAACCCTAATGTCTCCCCATTTCCTCCCCCTTTATATTGTCGGGAGGCGGTGAAAGAAAAGTTACCGCCATTGGTGAGGCGGTGGGAACAGTGCGATTTTTTAAATATTTTTATTTGTTTGGGGCTGTTACATAAATTATCATCTCCAACTTCAAACTCATACTGCAGGAACTCTATTTTCTGCATGCTTTCATGAATTTAGCTAGTGTCCTCGGTCAGCATGTCACGGAAGAATGCTATCATGTGACGAAAAATAAACTTATGAACTTGCAATTACTTTTATTGTCATTGCTGTACCAGTGCAAAGTTTTATATAAGCAAATGTAATCACACTTTTGTGTAAAAGCTAGTGGGACATCTGTAGTCCTCCTGCAATATGAATGAAAATTGCTGTGATCTCTGTGTTTGAGTCCTTTCTGCTTTCACAGTCCGAGAATTTTGTAGGAAAAGTGGTCAAGTTCTAATTTGCATGGACATAACTGATCTGAGATTGTCATTTAAAGATCTAAAATTTTTTACTTTTTAACCCAATTTATTGTGCCTACCCTGAAAATTTAGATTGCTTTTGGGCAAATAGAAGTGCTGATCAGTACCCAACTCTTCTTTTTTACTGAAAATAATGAACTTCACACTCGAGACTATTATTTTTAATTGTCAACCTGTAGATTCTGGGGGAAGAAAATTTGGTTCTAAAATTTCCAAATTATGTAGTTGCTAGGGAATCGAGATTTACCCTAGAAGTTGTAATATCAATGAAAACATGTACAATAGAGTGAAAAAGTAAACTTGTGCTGTTACATTAACCTGTGAATTGTTGGGTTCATTCTGATATTTTCTTGATAACACAACATGCATATGATTATTTGTTTTCTTTTTCCTCTAATATTTGATGGTACAGATATATGCTGCTAAGGTAGGTTGGGGTCTGACAATGTCTTATCTTGTAAATAAAACTTTTGCCTTACGAAACTACTGACGTACTGACAATTCACATGCTGTTTATTTTTCAGGCTCTTGAATGGTAACCAGCTATCTGGTTCTTTACCTGATGAAATTGGGAACCTTATCAACTTAGATAGACTCCAAATTGACCAGAATCATATATCAGGGGCCATTCCCAAATCATTTTCCAACTTGAGCAAAGTGAAGCATCTGTGAGTAGGTTTTGATTTATTGTCTTTTCTCCCCGCTGTCAAGATAATTTGGTAATATTGTTCTGCTGCAATTTTCTTTCTTCAGACATATGAACAATAACTCAATTAGTGGGCAACTTCCACCTGAGTTATCCAGGCTGCCAAGGCTCCTCCACCTGTAGGTTAAGTTTAGTGCTTCCCAAGTTTTCTCTGTTCTACCTTGTCTATTAACTTATATCTTTTTCACTGTTGTCTATATGCACTTCACTAATTGTGTTTTTCGCAGCCTAGTGGATAACAACAACTTGTCGGGGCATCTTCCTCCTGAATTTTCCAGTATGCCTACTTTGAAAATTCTGTATGTACTGTTCTTTTATTCTTTTGAATAGACAGTTTTTCTTCCTACAATAGTAAAAATGATAGCTTGATTAACTTCTTCTTATATATATTTGTGTCCAATCTTTTAAATATATATATTTTTTCTCCTAGACCTTTGGTCTTGTAATGATGAAATTTTATCATCGTTGACTCTTAAGTTTAAGTTAAACATGAGATCTTTTGGCAGTCTATTATTTTAGTATGATTTACTTATTTTTTTAGCTTATCTGCATGTTCCTAAAACCAATGGTGTAATGCCTTGCAAACACCTTGTTTCTTCATAGAAGTTTGAACCATAGTCGGGATGTCGAGGTAGTCAAATCATAACATCATGAACCTTTACTGGTGGAGATCATGGCCCTGAACATTGTTGTATGTCGAGAAAAAAAAAAGCCTGCTTTCTCCTTGTATTGGACTTGTGCGAGCTATACTTGCATAACCTCTAATTAAGCTCTGATGAAGGAAGAATTCTTCAACTTTTTTTTCCTTTCATATTATATGTATTGTAGCCAATCATAAGGAGGTAATGGATTGACCAGCTTATGGTTCAGATATGAGGCAAGAATTGGTACTTACATAATGAAATTTACCATTCATTCTGAGAGGTTAACACTTTGCACCATGCCACTGCCATGACAGTCTATCATTCGTTCTGTGTATGCAGGCAACAATGCTCTGTTAGACCACCACACCACTATGAGCTATCCTATTAATGATCTGTACAATTAATCCTGATATATGCCCATCATTTAATCTTATAATGAGAGTCAACTTCACTTTAAACTAAAATTTTAGGAAGAAGAACAACTCCTTCACTTTGTTGCACAGTTCATTTCGACCTATCCTAGCTTCATAGGTATCAATCACACCTAGCATTACTTTTAATTAGAGCCCCTATTCAATTAGTTTTAATTAGAGCCTCTATTCTATAAGTTGCAGTGACAGCCTAACAGGAAGAGTGATATAAAGAAAGCAAAGAATCTGATAAAACATACTGTATCTTACCATATATTAAGGGAAGGTTAAAAGGATTTTTAAACTAATCAAGGGAGATGTAGATGAAACATATGAAGCACATGGAGAATGTTTTTTTATTTTGAGGAAACATGTATGAAGGATTTGACAGTCTCCCTTCTAGTTTCTTGTTTCTCCAGCAGTGACACCCCAAGTCACTAACCCTGAGGTTCCTAGGATTTTTCCTTTTTATTTTTCAGTTAAAGTGGTATATGTTTCCTTTGTATGTATTTTATATCTTTCCTTTTGTCTTGTTTGCAGTCAACTTGATAATAATAATTTCAGTGGTAATATCATCCCAGCTTCTTATGGGAATTTGTCTACACTTCGAAAGTTGTAAGTTTAACTTTTTTATCTTACATTCTTTTCACTGTATGTTGTCATGTAGAGATATATTTCAATAAAGAAATAACTGAGCAGGACTTAAGATTATGGCTGATTATAAGGGCGTGGGTTTATAACTCTGAAAGCATTTTCCGTGGTCAAACATTATGGAAAATTAATGTTCTATCTGAAAGTTAAATTCCTCTTTGGTTCTTTGTTTAAGGAAACATGCATGCTTGTAGGCTTCTATATGCAATGACAGTTCTTTTCAGAGTGAAAAGATATAAGTAAATTCACCTTTGTAACCAATTTTATATTCTGATAACTTATTTTTCTCATATTCTTCGGGGCTAAATTGCAGATTACCCCCTTCCTCCCTCTCTTCTGTATCGTCAGTAGCGCTTATCACTCAACAGCTACTTTATTAGCACTGAACACCCATGAAATGACATTTTTAGAAGGATAAGTTGCAGGTAACCCTTTCTCCCTAGGAGTTCAGGGGTGTTAAGTGTAATAAATAAGTTGAAGGGTGATAAGTGCTACTAAAGATATAGATGAGGGGGTTATCGACAATTTACTTCTTCAATTATTGCCTATTATTGGCATGTACTATATAGTCTTTCTGTTTTTCTTTGTACCAAATTTAGACTTTAGTGCAACTAAGAGTAAGCATATTCTATTCTGTTATGGTTGTAGAATGAGCTTACATTTGTAAGTTTAATACATATTTAGCATCTTTCTTTATCTCTACCTTTTTTTTGTTATTTTAATCATGTTGGTGAGCTCGGTCTATGGTTACAAGAGGTACTTTGCGTTGCATTTAGTGGATTGTGGCATCTATGAAATTATTACAACAGAATGATGAGTTCAGTTGATGTTACTTGACTGTGGACTAAAATTGTGAGGGATTAGTTATAAACTCTTATGGATGTGACTAAAGGATGAAAAATGATTTGGTGAACCATCTGTTTATCAAAAGGCTATCAATATATTTTAAAAAGAAATGAGAGAGGATCTCTTAGACATGTAAACAAGAGGTATCACTCTACAGAGCTTCTAGTTGAAGTTCTTACACTAAAAGTTACCAGTAAATTTAGCAGCAATAGCATGCTTAAAAATCTCTCCTCATCTGTTTATTGGTCATGTGACATAATCGAAGGCAATGTATCGATATTGTTATATTCATGGGGCAAATGAAAATCCGTAGGACAAGTGTGAAAAAGTGGAGAGAAATATGTGGATTACTACCAATCAGTGTATTAAATATCAATCAATATGTCGCTATATCGGTTAATATATCAGTTTAGGGACCTTACCGCGACAATATTTAGGGTTTTATATCGGTTTCCAATTTTTGGGATTGTTTTTCGATATATAGGCCCATATTGGGAATATCGGCCGATATTATCCCATTGAAGATTTCGACAAAATCGGGTTGTTTTTAATTTGGTTCTGGTTTCGGGTTTGCGTCGCGCTTGGGTTCCCAACCCTGAACCCACAATCAGGTTAAAGCAACAAAACCTCAACCTGAACCCACCAAAGCCACAAAAGCCAGTCTCCCAAGTCTCTTCACTGTTAGTGTTGGCTCTCCCAAACCCTAAACATATATCATGGTGCAATTTCTTATGTATAGAATTCATTAATATGTTTATATTACATATTACAATGTCATGTTATGTCATCGGAAATGACACCCTGATTTATCCCCAATTTCAGCAATCTGGTATTGGTTTTGGCCATCGATATTTATTTGATATCTGATATTTAATACATTGCTATTAGTCGAATAAAAATAGCTGCAACATAGAAAACCAACCTTTATGCAAACTGTATCTTTTGCAAAAATACCTAAAGCTGAGTAAAAGTTGGACCAGATTTACATGGAAGTTGCCAAAACCGACTTCTAATTTTCTAGGCAACCATAGAACCCTTAAACAGTAGAATCTGGGGCTGAAACTGCAGTAAACGGAACTTTAATTGGTCATATTGACATGAGACTAGCCTTCCCATGATACATTGTAATAGTCATTCTGAGCTACAATTTGAATGTTATAGTTTCCAGACGACAACAATTTAATTCAACATCTTCTTGTTTGATCTTTTGGCCTAGTCCTTACAATCTTTACCAAATACAATGCAAAACATCTATATAAGCATTACTATTCACCTTCTTCTGAATCTTTCAAGACCAATTATTCATATTTTAACTTGTTGCAACAGGTATTTCTAACTTGTTGATATCAATATTAAATCACTTTTTTGCGATGTACCGTTAACCATGTCTTCATCTGCAAACACTTTCTGCATCTGTTACTTGTCCCTAGCCTCTTTATGTATATCCTTAGGCTTTTATAGTTTCCATTTTATTTCTGCATGGACTGCCTCACATTTCTTTGCTATTTATTCTGCTGTAAACTAATTCTGGAAGTTGAATCAGAATTGGAGCATGTTTTGGAACATTCTGATACACAATACCCAATGGAGTTTCCTCTGAACTTATTCAACTTGTTTAAAACAAACTCACGTCACTCACCCATAGCAATATACTGAGTACTTTGGCCTATTCCCATAGAAAACAGATATTTCCCAAGATTTTAAGCAACTTCAGTTTGCCTATCTTCTTGCAGGAATGTCTTTTATAAAGTATGTTCTACTAGACTACATACCCCAAACTACTTCTGTACTACTAGAATAAAATTGAGGGAGGGGGGGGGGGTTGGACGGTGGGGGGGGGGGATTGATGACTTATCCATTTTGGTGGCAATTAGAAGGACCTCACTTTTATTCATTGTGGGAAAATACAACAGAAAACTCAGATATTTCCTTGTGTGATCCTTATGGGAACAGGTAACAGGGTATATAGGCCCTTGTTTAGTGATCGTCTCTTGATATTCACGGTAAGGTGACTGTTAAAAAAACTTACAATATTGTAAATACTTATGGTTTATATAAATGATAGAACTCTCAACGCAACAGATATTTCTGCTTGTGTTCAAGAGTCAAGCCTGCACCCTTTTTTTACTCGTTGTTATGCTTTTGTTTCAATTTCTTTATGAACTCTTCAGCAAGGCGCTGCGGCACGGTGGTGTTGATTTGTTAGTATATATTTTTATCTTGTGATTTGGTAGTATATATTTTATTTATCTTGAGTCCTTGATATTTTCTATGTGAAATTTCACAAATATTTTTTTTTCCATTCATTTTGTATATCTTCAAAATTTTTGTGGTCTGGAGTGCGCCTCGCTTCACTCGGGCGCGCGCATCGCATTGCGCCTTGCGCATGTGCGTGTAAACTGACTTTGCGTCCTGCATTGCGCCTCGCGCATTGAAAACATTGGCCTATACTATTGTGAAAGTGTGAAATATTACGACGGATCTATCCTTCTCAGGCTCTTAATGCATCAAACAATCTATCCCCTGTTAAGGACCAAACCTGTTAACCATATCGACAATTTATAGGCTAGTACTTTTCATGAAAATTAGTGAAAACATGAGATAATTTGATTCATCCAGAATAACGTTAACCTGTTTGCTTCTCAGAACTTGGTTAATAATCTGAGTATATTCAAATAAATTGGAGGACATTCTTTACATCTGAATCCAAAGGTTTTCAGTTAAATTTTTAGCTTTTGTGTTCCGCATATGGTGTATAAGTATATATTTCATTTTGGTCATCAGCATAATTTGTTATTTTTGGTTTCTGGTGACAGGAGTCTTAGGAACTGCAGCTTGCAAGGAGTTATCCCTAATTTTAGTGGTATACCTGAACTTACCTACCTGTAAGTTTTTGGGATCTATCTTTTCAGCGACTTATATTTACTTTTTTTTGTATGTACATGTTTTTCTGTAGTTTATTCTGATTGATATAATTGCTCTAACTATTTCATTGTATTTTCTTTAAGAGATCTTAGCTGGAATCACTTGAAGGGGTCCATACCATCCAATAGACTTTCCACAAATATTACTACCATGTATGGGTTTAATTTAAATTCGGTCATCTTATGGCATTGCTTCCTTAAGTCTATATTTGGTAATCAAGTTTTTTTTTAACTTTTGACAGGCATGTTCATCCTTGATCAGTGTTTACTTTCTCTTATATTATTTATTTATGGCAGTGACCTGTCGAGGAACTCTCTTGATGGTTTCATTCCTTCAAGCTTCACAGGCCTTCCTAAGCTTCAGAGATTGTAAGTGTATCTTATTTCCTTTTGTATGTATCAGGGTGTAGCTGTTAGTCCCCTTGTAGTGTACTTTGGACCAGATTTTTCTCTTTGCGCTACTTTTCCTTTAGTTGGGTTCAGGCTGAGAACAGTGTAGTAGGCAATTTCCCAACCTTAAAGAGATTGGATTCAAATTGCCAAAAATAAATAATACCTGTTTATTTATTTATTTTCCTTCTAGTGAGCCCATTTGATATTCATGTCAGGTTGGATTTCAGTCCCTTAGTCCTTTTTCTTGAAAATTAGTAAGAAGGGTTCGAATCCTGATTCTCCTGCAAGATCTGACCTATTTGACAATTGCAGTAAATGGCTCATGCCTTAAGTTTCTAGTAGTATTTGACAGTGTCATAAGAGCTGCTTGCAGGTTGATTGTCATCAGGTCAATTTAAACGGGTTAGTATGGGACCATGTGGGTTTAAAAGCGAAAGAAAAACACAGCCTGTTTATTGGTCTTCTGGGTGAACGTTTTTGACCTGAATCCAATCAATGTTTTAAAAAGCCTCCGCCTAGCCTGCCTAGGCGTACGCCTAGGCCTAGGCGATACCTTGGCTGCCTACCTAGGTTTTGGGAGTGTCTAGGTGGTTTGCCTACATGGACTGCACCTTTTAGGCATTAATCGTGATTTCCTTCGTTGTAAGCTTGTATGTCCTCCAACCTCCTCCAACTATGAACATCTCCTCTACCTCTCCCAATGTTTAGCAAAACCTTATCCACCACCACTTCAGAAATCTACCTAGGTGTTAGTCCAGTGCCTAAGCTTTCCATAGCATTGGCATTGACTATCAGAAATTGTAATTAAAAACTAAAAAAATAGAAAAATGCCTTGGCCCCACCTAGGCTCCAGGCATCATGTCCAACGTCTAGGGCGCTTAGCGCTTTCTATAACCTTGAATCCAATTACAACAAAGCCATACCTCCTAACTTCCTGTCAACTCAATTATCCTTTAATTTGCAGGATGTGATGTTCCTCGTGATCTTAATCATTTATGTCGAATTTTTAAAAGAAAGTTTTATGCACATTAATGTGTTCCAAATGCATTCTGGACTGTTCATAATGTATTTTATTTTGCAGGTCCCTTGGAAACAATTTCCTAATTGGCTCTGTTCCAAATATATGGCAGAATTTGACGTTCAGTTGGAATGAATCTTTGATCTTGTATGGACTTTTGACCGGCAACCATCTTCTTACAAAAAATTTCAGTTTGATTTTCTAACAGGGTCTACTTTTCTCATGCAGGGATTTCCAGAACAATTCACTTTCAAATATCACAACTGCTTTTAATCCTAGCAAATGTTACTATTTTGTATGCTTTCTTTCACCTGTGATCTTCATTTTTTTCTGAGCATTAAGTTATTGTCACTTATCAAAGAAAATAAGACAAAGGTATTACAGCACAACTGATGGAGAACAACATCATTTCAATTTTTGAAGTGGTTGAGTTTGGACTTTGGAGATTGAGAATATATACTAAAAAGTGCTCTTTGTGAGTTAAATGCCATTGCTTTAGATACTTTGTAGGCTCAGAGTTGGCTAATCTTTTAAATTCTTTGAAATTTTTAGTATTTTTTATATTATTTATATTGTTATTTTATCTTTTAGATAATATGAAAAAACATGTGACATATTAAATGGTTTAGCTCTTATTGGTTAATTAAGATTCAAGTTAATAGACTATATCTAGGTGTTAGTTGGTTGTGATTTAAGTATTTTGTGAAAGAATTTTTAGTAATTAAAATGAGGAAGATATGTCATGATGATTGGAACTAATGAATTTTTTTATTGAGGGTGTGATGCCCATTTGTTTCTTCTTGAGGGCATGTTTCCTTACTCATCTTTGTGAGGGTTTGCTTCCCTATTCCATTATGCTTATCTTTCAGAACTTCCCAAATATCTTTACTCTCCAGATTATTCCCCAGTGGTATCCTGAAATACTTACACATGCAAGTGACTTGACCGGCAATATGTACACTAGGAAAATCTCCATGTATGCACCCAACCAGAAGGTTGTAAATGATATTGGGGAAATATTGGACGGCCAAAATTCATATTGGATTGCGGATATCAGAGAAATATCGAGGATATGTAGTAAATATCGGAGTGTCATATTAAATGCAATCTAAATATACGTAATGAAATGTAAGCATACAAAAATGTAAATAATATATGTTTAGGATCATACCGAATCGTAGAAAGGTACTAAGGGAAAAGATCCTACTATTGACCAAAAAAAAAAAAAGAAAAGATCCTACTAGAATCTTGGTAAAAGACTTCTTAGCTTTGAAACTTTTGCTAAAAAACATTGAAGAAAATTTCCAGTATTGTAATGTTTTGTGACAAGATGTAGAAAAAGATATATTGGCCAACATATCTGCTAATACATCAGCCATGTCGGGGATATGCCGCCCAAAAATTACCAAAAAGCAGTATTGGATATTGAGACCATATCATTTTGCGGAAAGCCTTATAAAGGGATATGTTGTGTGACATCCCATGTGAAGAATGACAGTGACATTTCCAAGAGAAATTATAGTCCCACGTCGGTGAGAGAAAGAGTAGTTAAGATATTTATATAGTGAAAGCTAAAGACTCAAGTGTAACATCGGCTAGTCGATTTTGGTGGTTGTTTTAGCCAAACAGCGCCTTACACTCGGTGGGTCCCACGGTTTGCACGCGTCAACGGGCCTGCGGACCCGGGACATGACAAATGGTATCAGAGCAGTTGCCAGCCGGAAGTGTGGAGCTAAGTGCTATGCGGGGCTAAGTGCTATGCGGGGCTAAGTGCTACATCGTATGGATGCGGTGGGAGCCACCTCTAGAGCCCGTAGGAGCCACCTCTAGAGTCCACATCGCCTGGCGATGATATGGAATATGCCAATTATCATGCCGCGACGAGGACGTCGCCTTTGTAAGGTGGGGTGAATGTGACATCCCACGTGAAGAATGACAGTGACATTTCCAAGAGAAATTATAGTCCCACATCGGTGAGAGAAAGAGTAGTTAAAGTATTTATATAGTGAAAGGTAAAGACTCAAGTGTAACATCGGCTAATCGATTTTGGCAGTTGTTTGAGCCAAACAACGCGTTACACTCGGTGGGTCCTACAGCTTGCACGCGCCAACGGGCCTGCGGACCCGGAGCGTGACATGTTGGCCAATATATCGGGCTATATTGGGGATATTTAAAAAAATGCCCAAGTGTCAAACGAATCATAATATTTATCTTGGATATCATACACAATATCCACTGAACAATATAAAAACAAGAACAACAAGCAGAATCTGAAATGCTGTTGCTTGATACAAGTTTGATACAACTGAATGAAAATACTGATTTGCAGTCTGAATGCAAAGATAGGTCTCTAAGTCCACGACTAGCGCATGATCTCAACTGAAAAAAAATACAACCGAAAGACTAAACTAAAATATAAATATTAAGGGAAAATTTCTTCCACTAAGCTTCCCACCCCAGGTCAAATAGTCAACTTGCTTTAACCCCCTCAATTCTAAATACAAAGTCATTACCCCCTTGTCCCCGCCAATTTTTATAATTTACCCAGAAATACTCTTGTCACAAAGAATTTAAGTGAAAAAGATCAAAGCCATGGTTGGCTGCCTTCTTCCCTTGCAAGTAATGGGATGAGATTCAGTTATTTAATTATGTTAGCGAAGTTTAAGATCAGTTGTTAAAATTTTGAGTGGAAAGAGAAACTTGAGTGAAATCAGTGATTAAATTGCCATTGGAATTGAATAAGATTTCCACATCCTAAGAAAAGTTCAAAATAAAGAAATCTTTGGACCATCACCTTCTTGGAAAGATTCCTAAAGAAGAATAGAAGTCTTTTTTCATAATTGGCCATGCAACTCATCGTGTTGCGATACTTCATTTCAATTGGAATATCTTCTCTATCTGGTGGTTTTGATGAAATCAAGTTTCAGCTCTTTCTTGAACCTGATAATAGATCGACATATCGAGAAAAAGGAGGAGCGAAAGTCGTCCTTCAAGTGAGGTAAACTCCACCAACATTGTTGAACTGCTCATAGATATCGTTTCCGTCAGTCTAAAACTGTCAGAACAGGTCACACACTTCGTCCATTGAGGCCGAGAGATGCAGTCTCTCCTATCGAGTTCTGTCACCGGCAACGGCTCAAGGATCCTATCTAAATCATGCTGGCACTAGCTTAATGTAACTAATGACAAACAGGGGCATTTAAGTGTATAACACAAAATATTTGTGGGAACAAGGGGATATCAAAATGAGAGTGAAAATCCAGGGAATTTTTTCCTAGGACGGGGAAGCTTTTGTATCTAAACCCAAGGGGTTGAATGCAATTTTCCCAAATATTAATTGCAGCAAGAAAGAAATGACTACAGTGCGCACAATCTCTCTAGCACTATACTGGTAACCAGATGACTCGAACCTGTAAAGAAGATGAATACATAGACTTGGATCTGGACACGCAAACTTAGGCCTGTCAAAGCTGACCAACAAGTTTTCCCAAGGAAAATGAAGTATCAGTATGTATGTAACAGGTAGCATATGATACATGAACATGATGTTGGGGTAAACCCGGGGCTACGCTAAACCCTTAAAACAGCAGAAACGTAGTATAGAGAAAAGTACACCAAGATTTACGAGTTTCGACAAACTTGTCTACATCCTCGGGAGCCACACAATAAATTTCTTATTAATCAACAAGAAATTACAATACAAGAGCAGATCTCAAACTTGAGATGTCTCAATAAATACAATCTTCACTGTAACTACAGTAAAGATTCTCCTCTCTTAAATATTCCCCCTCTTAAATTCTCTCTTTATTTTTTCTTAAAATCTCCCCTCAAATTCACTATTGAGAGCTGGAGAAAAAAAGGAGAGCAGAAGAGAAATCACCTCTGGGAAGAGAAGAAGCGCCGTCGCCAAGAAATCACGAGAGACCCGAGATCTCGGGCTAGGGTTCCTTTTATAGGTGAACCCTAGCGCCAGGCTGTCGCCAGCCATGCGAGCGCTCGAGCTCGCCTACGGGCCACCAACCTCGCCTACAAGGAACCCGCACTCGAGGAGCTCGCCAGCTTGCCCCGAGCTCGCCTGTCTTGGATCAACCTCGCCTGCATCCCGCTCGCTCACCTGCGGAAGTTCTCGAGCTCGCATGCTCGAACTCGATGACCTCGCCTGCAGCTCATCGACGCCTCGTCTGGATCTCAACCTTGAATTCGCCTGAAGATTTCGTCGACCTCGCCTGACGCTCATCGACCTCGTCTGAAGTGGAGCTCGCCCGTCACGAGCTCGCCTGAGCTTCATCCTCGCCTGGAGAAGCTCGCCTGCTGGTGAGTTTGGGCTTCACACTCAGATCCAATAATCTCCCACTTGGAGACCAAACCGTCGTCAACAGGCTATCTCAACAAGTATCAACTCATGTGTGGCTCCACCCTCATCACCTATGCATGAAAACCAACTGAAGTTACGCACAACTCTAGTTTCTGAATGGTTACTGTCTTTGTTAACATATTTGCTGGATTCTTACTCCCTAGAATCTTCTCCAATTGTAACACGTCATCTTCCAACAGGGATCTGATGAAGTGGTACCAAAGCCTAATATGCTTCGTTCTAGAATGAAATGCAGAATTCTTAGCCAAGTGAATTACACTCTGACTATCGTTGTGCAGATCATTCTTTTCCTGTTTGAATTCCATAAACCGATTGACCACTCCCACTGAATGGTCAATGTCTGGTCTCGTACAGACCATTGCGTACATCAAGCTTCTAATGACTGAGGCGTAAGGAACCTTAACCATACTCTCTTTCTCTTCTTCTGATTGAGGAGATTGATCATTTGTAGGCGAAAATGGCTGGCCAAGGATGTGCTGACTGGCTTGGCATCGTCCATGTTAAATCTTTGCAAAACACGGTTGATGTATTCTGTCTGAGACAACTGCAAGAACCCTTTCTTTTTCTCTCGTGATTTGCATTCCAAGGATTTTTTTTGCTGGACCAAAGTCCTTCATGTCAAACTCCTTTGATAATTGTTGCTTTAAACTCCTGATATCCTCCATATCTGCATCTGCAACCAACATATCATCAACATACAGCAATAAAATGATATAACTGGACTGATATCTTTTAAAGTAGCAACAGTGGGTCGGCGTTGCACTTTTGGAAACCTTCCTTGTGCATGAAGCCGTCAAACTTCCTGTACCACTGCCTTGGGGCTTGTTTCAGGCCATACAAGCTCTTCTTGAGTCTGCACACCAGGTTTTTTTTTCTTCTGAGAAACCTTTTGGTTGGTGTATGTATATCTGTTTTTCTAG